TGACTTCTTATAGATGAGCCGAATTAACAAGTGTCATCATTGCAAGCCTTTCTTGATACAATACATCTAGCATTCATTCGACACTGGGACATATTAATCTATTGTTTACTCATGATGATCGAATTCAATTTTTTAGTACATGTCAGCGAAGATTTGTATCCGACTTTGTTAACTACACAGCTGTAGTTTTCAAATAGTCTCGTCACTGCCAGCATGATTGGCTACTTTTCCAGTTTCTTTGGTCGACGATTATCAATCATTGTTGCTCTGATTATTAGTGCTGATCTCATCCCAGCTTATGTGCTTTCACGAGATCCGAGAAGCATTATGGTCGCTTCATGTTACGAAATAATCCGTGTTGAAGGTTCATGGAGCATTGTGCCCATATATTTACTAGAATTTGCACCACGGGAGATTCGCTCATTCATTGTCGGTGCTGTCTATGAAATACGCAACCTTATTTCTTCATTTGCAATGACGGTCATGGCGATTATTGCAGAACATTTTCCCCTCATGACATGTGGCATTGCAACAGATCAACATCGTTACAATTATGGTAAAGCCATGTCCATTGCCTTAGTTATGCATCTATGTGTACTTGATTATCATTATCCTTTTGGGATCCGAGAAGAGAAATATCGACGAAATTGCTGAATACAATAGTAAAAATGCTGAAGACAGCAAAGCATATGGAGCACAACACGCGGCATCTTGTACCTATTTTTAACATAAACTCTCTTCTTTTATTTAGTTTTAAATTAATAATTACTTGATTAACCAAAACATTAGTGACGTTTCGTATCTCGATGAGATACATCTTCATACAATAAATTTAGGATAATTTATTCACTATGAAAAAGCTATTTTATTTTTCTTTTCTTTATTAATTATTCTTTTATAGTGATACGACAAAAAAGATGGTTATACTGAGAACTAATGCCGGCGCCAGAATTAAAGAGGGGTTGGTGTAACTTGAATAACTCAACAATGGCAAGAGCTAGCGACCTGCGGTTTTCGCCAATCGAAAGAAGAGGAGTGGGGACGTCTTTCTCTCTCATAATGTATAACACGAAATCATTTTAAAACTAATCACATTCGAAAAACATGCAAAAGAACTCATAAAAATGACCTGCCCGCTAGATGAAATTTTGATTTTGGCCTTTGATTTAGATAGAGGGACTTCAGATCTATAGTTCAAGACACAATGCGCTTTCTTACTTTTTCTTACATTTTCATCGAAATCTCAAGCTACTAGGATAAAAAGTACGAAAACTTAGTAAAAAATCAGCAAAATTCCGTATTTTTCGCGCATGTAAGTGCATGATTCCATTTGCTCAGCATTAGAATGTAATAAGACAACCATTTGCATTGTATCTTGAGCTATAGATCTGAAGTCCCTCTATCTAAATCAAAGGTCAAAATCAAAATTTCATCTAGCGGGCAGGTCATTTTCATGAGTTCTTTTGCATGTTTTTCGAATATGATTGGTTTTAAAAGGATTTCGTCTTATACATTATGAGAGAAAAAGACGTCCCCACTCCTCCTCTTTCGATTGGCGAAAACCGCAGGTCGCTAGCTCTTGCCATTGTTGAGTTATTCAAGTTACACCAACCCCTCTTTAATTCTGGCGCTGACATTAGATAAGGATTTAATCCTTTTTCGTATCACTATTATCGCCTGGTTGGTCTTTGCTCTCAAACTCTTTGTATTTATTATAGTGTTTTTGACTTGATTGAATTTTCCTTTGAATTTGTTCTTTGGCTCGAAAGTGTGGGTGTGAGTATTATTGTATGTGTTAGTCTTAAAGGTTGGGGTGTGGTTGTGAATCGGCAATTAAAATTTAATAAAAAATAAATTTTATTCCGATAACAAAGGATTTTTTGGCTTTATTTTTAACTTATCAATGATATGAACTAGAATAAATATCTATTTCAAATCAAATATTAGAATTTCTTGTTTTTCTTTTGTATTTGATAACTTCATCTATGGTTATTCTGATGAAGTATTCAAAATATTCTATTGATTACCCATGCTATGTCATTGCCAACTAATCAAAATTTTATATTGTTCTTTTCTGAAAATGTTTATAACGTCCAGAAAATAAATTAGTTCTATTAGAAATCACAGTTGATCAAAAGAAATGTCCAGATTCTTTTTATCATAGTCGAGATTTAAGTATTTTTCTTTTTATGGTGGAAGGAAAATTCTCTTGACTTTCTTGTGCTTGATACGTAAAATTGATGCTAAACGTAAGAAATAATCAAGTCTTAGAAAATCTAATAGTATTTCTTGGAAAAGAATTTGATATTCAAAATGACATGATTAGGTGGAGGCGACTCTTAATTATGATGAAATAATATAATAAACTTGAATCATTCTATTTGTCAATGTTGGCAAAACTGATAAAACAGAGATCTAAGATATCTTGGTGGAACTGAAATGATTTAGAAAAATATAAGAAAGCAGAAGTTTTTCATCACATGAAAAATGTTGATCTAATTATAATTCTCACCAACACAATCACTTTGTGCATTAGTTCATGACAATCTCAGTATTATTCGACAATTACTTAGGAGTATTAACACATATGGTGTGAAAAAAAGAAATTTTTGGAGAAAATTTTTCATTAAACTAAATATGGCTATTGCAAGTTTACAATAATATTCGATCTATTTATTCTTGAATAATCTATCGAACGCATACGTCTATTATGAAAAGAGTTGAGTTTTGCTGTTTAGAGGAACATCTACCATTTAATCATTCCAAATTTTACATGGAATAATTATCTACAAGCAACGAATAACTATTTGAAAATTCTAAACATCGATATGTATACATTACTATTGAATGATCTCACCAATTTTCAATACATACAATATTGTACTAGAAATTACCGAAGAAATCGAATCATGCATATATGATTTTTAATTGTAGTTAATCTTGCATTTCTGATCTACTTTTTCTGTTAGTTAAATCTCTATAACCGTTTTTTTTGAAAATATTTCTATAGGCAAATATACATAATATTTGATAAGTCATTAAAATTTAGTAACTGAATTGAAAGTTATTTTTACTTGAAGATTATTCAATCAGTGTACATAGTATGAAGTAACATTGAGACTGAAGGATGTCTTCACACATTCAATCTCATCTTAGATTTCTACAAAGCTTCAAGATTTTCATAACTGCAAATATTTATGTTACGAATCGACAAGATTCGAAAATTTGAAAAAAAAGCTGATAATAGCAATGATTGACATTCTTTTTGGACTTCTTGTAAAATTAGAGATCCTGTGCCAAACCATGATGCATTTTATTCAAAGAAGAAAAGTTACACCAGCTGTACACAATAAAAGAAAACAAGCCACTAAGTGTAATTAATGCAATCTAATTCTTATTAACAAATGAATATGGAAATATTTAATAATTATTCATATATTTGACGTGTTAGCTGAACATAATCGATTGCCTACATCATTTAAGTCTTTGAGACAAAGAAACTCTATCTTGACAATAATCTATTTTGGTATCGTTCAAATGAAAGTAATAAAAAAGGCATGATCATTACTTTTATGTTAAACATTGAATAAGATAAGATATGATTTATGTTTCTTCTTATCAATTTTGAGTTTTTGCATTACCAAGAAAAAAAAACCAATTGAATCTGTTCTCTTTTATTTTTGATCCATTCATTTTCAACTAGAATATCGCACAATGATCTGTGCTGAGTCTTCATATAGTCCGATACGTGCAAGTTAATCGAAAACATACGTGATCTTTGAATAGAATCAATAATATCAGCAGACACTTCGGGTAAATTTTAACTTTAATCAGTTACATGGTGTTTTGAAAACAAAGAAAACCATTAGTAAAGCTTATCATTAATATTCTTAACTATATTAACAAAAATGTTGATTTGATTAATTTATTTCTTAATATTAAAATATTAAAAAACAATCAAAAGTGTGAAGAACAAATCAAGTGATGTCATATAAGTCTAAATTTGGCATACAATTAGATGTAGCAGATATTATTTCTTAGCACTGACGAGAGAACCGTTATAAATGATTATACATTTTAAAGATCGGACTCTATTGAGATACAAAAAATCCGAAAGGATAAACACTCTCATGCCTTCTCAGCAATGTTATTACTGTTTTATTGATATTCCGGTCAATGGACATAGTAAAAGTGTGATTACACATCGCTTTCACTAATAAGAACAACACAATTTGTGTTCTGTTTCTTGTAAAAGAACTGAAAAAAAATCATTTTATGCTATCCGTCGAGATGCAATGAATACACAACTTCATAAAGATATTCAACAGTGAATCTCAAATTATAGTGAACATCATATCCGAAGTGTCTGTAAAATTTACAATAAAGTTTCATTGTTTCAGCTATGCTTCTGCAAGGATATCACCACGATATATGAATTATGAACGAACGTTTTCAAGTAGTCAATTGCTTTCATACCAATAGATAGTAGATTGTAGCGTATCAGACATGTCGATTGCGGATATGACCACAAGAAACTTTCTTAGATCTCCATATTCTGGTTTTGTAGAAGAGCAAAACATTCATATTTTTTTTATTTCAAATTTTTTTTTTCTTGGAAGAAAATACGCTATTTTAATTCATACAATAGATACATATCAACATACTCTATAATCGGATTAGATTCAGAACAATTATAGCAAAATGTTTGTTAGTCTGAGCAACTAGTATATGAAGATCTAAGAGAATTTTTTACGGTCATTTCAAAATTAGTATGATCGATAGTTCATCATTTAGTTGCGTCTAGTCAGAAAGTGATTCATTAAATGAAAAACATTACTTCGTTAGATTTACGTTACTTTTGTAATCTTTTATATTCGATTTATATTATAGGTTTATTGTAAAAGTATATTTGAAATAAAACATCAATAACAAAGACAAAAGACGAACAAAATAAAGTAACCTTTTTCTTTCTTTCTACATAATAGTTTATCATTTTATTTTCAAGCATTAGGTGCTAGTAAATTTTTAAGAAAATCATCTTGTAAACATCCATTTATGAATTCATCTTTTGTTAATGAACGGTCACCATTTAAATCAAGTTTATTCATAATTTTTTCTACACGTTTTGATGGAGAATTTTCACCTTTACGATTTTCTTCTCCAAGTAAATCATAAATAGCCTAAAAGCACTATAATTAAATAATAAACTAAATCCTATCATAAATACATACAGTAACAATTTGTTCCATTTCTTTTGCATCAACTTTTCCATTTTTATCAATATCTTAAAAAAAAATAATATGAAAACGAAACAAATAATTCAAAACAAATAATTCCATAGTGTCACTTACCATACATATTAAATGCCATATTGAGTTTTTCACGAATATCTCCATGTGATGTTACAGAAATAGCAATAAGAAATTCAACAAAATCTAATAAATTATATACGTGAAAAAAGAGTGGTTTTTTTTTTCATCATAAAATATTAATATTCTTACCAATTTCTCCTGAATTATCAGTATCAAATGTTTTAAATACATGTGAACAAAATTTATCTGCTTTACCAGTTGGATAAAATTGTTTATAAACTTCAATAAATTTCTTCTTGTCTAATTTTCCTTTTGGACAGTCTTTCTAAAAATAAGTCGAGCTCTTATATATATATATATAACAAAAAAAGACCAGTCAATGTAAAGATTTCCGTTTCTTTCCAGAGGAAATAAGCACTTATTAGTTCATGTTTTGCTTTTCATACATATTATTATACTGCTTTTGTTTTCTTACGATGTTATTAACGCATTCATCGACGTTTAGTTTATGTATGCTTAGAGAAAATAAGATATTGATAATGAATCCTATTGTTAAAGAAGCGAAACGAAGCGTGAAAGATGTCAGTTGAATTAGGATAAACTACTAACATATATGCAAAACAGGAATAGAATCATCAGATTTATTTGTAAGCTGACTATTTAGAATAAAGCTTTTAATATATATATATATATTTTTTTTTTTCTTTCGTTTATTTTCAGATGACATAACAAGGAAGAGATTGTCTCTTTTATTTAGCCTTCTCTAAAAGCTCTATCTATAAGATTAGATTAGCTGCAAGATGAAACGATGTTAGGACAAACTTGTCTAGCATGTTTGTGCTTATCAACTTAACAGATGTGCAAAACGCAGAAATATATCGATGATTGTTGACGTTTCTTCAACGAAGTATATCATTAGACTTAGAGGAATGGATAATTACATGTTTAAAACATTGGATAATAGTACAAAGCAGCCAATGGAATAAATATTTACATGTATAGTAATCTTCTTTTCATCTTCTGGGTTGCTAAGATATCTTGATAAACACAAAAAAAAAACTCCCTATATTCAAGAAGGACAAAATAAGCAAGTGTATGTCTATTGATATGGTTATAAAAGAACCTGTGACCTGATGCAGTAATCTCTATAATTTGCAATAATTATTACTTTATTCTTCGTTTATTCTTTTAATTCTAAACTTTGGATAATACAACTGAATTTTTTATAAGTCTTTTCAATGACAGAAACGACAAAAACATTTTCTCTCAGAA